CATAAGAAAGGATGAATTCATGTCCTTTGCAGGGACATGGATAAAGGTGGAAACCATCATCCTCAGCAAACTGACACAAGAACAGAAAATCAAACACCACATATTCTCACTTATAGGCAGGTGTTGAACAATGAGAACATGGACACAGGGAGGGGAGCATCACACACTGGGATCTCTTAGGGAAACTAGGGGAGTGACAGCAGGGGTGGGAAGTTGGGGAGGGATAACATGGGGAGAAATGCCAGATATAGGTGATGGGGAGGAAGGCAGCAAACCACAGTGCCATGCAACAATCGTACATGTTCTTCACATGTACCCCAAAACCTAAAATGCAATAAAATATATATTAAAAATAAAACAAGCTAAAACATTTGTTCAAGCCAAAGTTTAATCTATAGCAGGGACCTCTCTTCAATTCAGTGAAGACAGAGAGATGAGCAAGTTACAGAAGAAAAGTTTGAAACTGACAGACTTTTTAAAATGAGGTTTAAGGAAAGGAGTCATTCCTATAACATAAAACTGCAAACTAAAGCAGCAAGTGCTGATGGAGAAGATGCAGCAAGTTATCCAGAAGATCTAACTAAGATAATTGATAACGACGACTAAGCTGAACAGTGGATTTTCAATGGAGACAAAACAGTTTTATATGGGAAGAAGATCCAAATAGGACTTTCATAGCTAGAGAACAGAAGTCAATGTCTGGTTTTACAGCTTCAAAGGACAGACTGACTTTCTGGTTAGAGGCTAATGTAGCTGGTGACATTAAGCTGAAACCGTATCTCATTTACCATTTTGAAGATCCTAGGCCTCTTATAAATTATGCTCAATCTACTCTGTGTGTCCTCTAGAAATGGAAGAAAAAAGCCTCGATGATAGCACATCTGTTTACAGCATGATTTACTGAACATGTTAGGCCCACTCTTGAGACATACTGCTCAGGAAAAGATTTGTTTCCAAATATGACTACTTACAGATAATGCACCTGGTAACTCAAGGGTTCTAATAGAGATATACAAGGAGACTTATAATGTTTTCATGCCTGCTAACAAAATATCCTTCTGCAGCCCATGGATGGAGGAGTAATTTTTAATTTCAAGTCTTTTTATTTAAGACATAAATTTCATAAGGCTACAGATGCAATAGATCATGATTTATCTGAGGGATCCGGGCAAAGCAAATTAAACATCTTCTGGAAAAGATTCACCATTCTAAATTCCATTAAGAATATTAGTGTTTCATGGTAGGAGGTCAACATATTAACATTAATAGGAGTTTGGAAAAAGTTGATTCCAAGTCTCATGGATGATACTGAGGATCCAAGACTTGAATGGAGGGAGTAACTTGAGATGTGGTAGAAACAGCAAGATAACTAGAAGTGGAAGTGGAGCTGAGAGATGTGACTAAATTGCTGCAATCTCCTGATCAAACTTGAAGAGATGAGAGCTGCTTTTTATGGATAAGCAAATAACATGGTTTCTTGAGATGTAATCTATTCCTGGTGAAGATGTTGTGAACAGCGTTGAAATCACAGGGATTTAGCATATTACATAAACTTAGTTGAGAAAGCAGTGTCAGGATATGAGAGGATTGACTCTAATTTTGAAAGTTCTACTGTGGATAAATTGCTATCAAATAGCATAGAATGCTACAGAAAAAATCTTTCATGAAAAGAAGTTAATTGATATATCTAACTTTATTATTCTCTTATTTTAAGAAATTGTCAAAGATACCCCAACCTTCAGTAACCACCACCTTTATCAGTCAGCAAAAGTGAATATTGAGGCAAGATTCGCCAACAGCACAAAGATCATAACTTGTGGGAAAGTCAGGTGATCATTAGAATTTTTTGGCAATAAAGTATATTGATATTAAGAAATACACATTGATTTTAGGCATAATGTTATTTTACACTTAACAGATTACAGTACAGTGTAAGTATAACTTGTACATGTGCTGGGAAACCAGATAATTTCTGTGATTCACCTTATAGAGCTTGTCTGGAACTGAACTTACAATATCTATGAGGTATGCCTGTATTATCAAAAGCAAGGAAATTCTGAGAAACCTCACAGTCTATATGAGCTCAAGGAGATATGTAAATGTAAAATAATGTCCCATGTAGGACCCTATAAAAGAAAAATCATATGCCATAAAAACTATAAAAATCTGAAAACTATATGGAATTTTGTTAATAATAATGTATCAATATCAGTTCATTAGTTGCAACAGATGTATCATAGACTAACGGGGAAACTAGGTGTGAAATTTAAGGGAAGTCTATATTCTTGCAACTCTTCTGTAAACTTAAAACTATTATTGCATAGAGTTCCTTTTTAAAAAACCTTAGACTAGTAAAATATAGTTAAAATGATAGTAAACTCCCTGAAAAATAAGAATAATGATAGCTATGACTGACATGATTGTTTTTTGAGTAATCAATCCACTCAGATATTACAATTTAATTTAATTCCAAACATTAAATTTGGAATTTAATGTTTGCTTAAAGGAAGCACACTTAAAAGTAAAACGTTGCCCAGACGTAAACGGGCAATGTTAAAATTTAAATCATGATACACATATAACATATATGGAATTGAACTGCAGCCTTCCCTAAATTAATATAGAGCATCTCCACCTCCCTCCTTGCCAGTTCTAACATTAACCCAACACTAAGCACACTGGCAAATCATATGGAGTTTACAGAGATTGTCTTGTGGTGGGAGTGGGAGATACATTGTATCTCATAAAGGAAACATAAAAATTCTCATTAAACCTTGTTTTCTTTTTAATTAACAAAAGGTATAGAAGGTATGTCTAGCTTTATTCTCATACTCCCCAGAATCTTTCTCTTTTTCTTTTTTGAAGACCACATGGGTGCAGCTTTATTTCACTCTTCGTTTACCTAGATCCTATTGTTTTTGTACCTAATTTAGAGCTCTCTTGATTTCTTTAATTTATATCCTTACATATCAATATCCTGAACAACTTGGAAATGTTCCTTTAGATATTTCTTCTTTAAAAGGAAAAAATAAGTATTACAGATAACTTCTTTTAACTTCCTTTTTTTGTTTGCTCGCTACGTACAATATATTATATTCAGTATTTTTTTCCAGGATTAAAAGAAAAACTGTTTCCAACTATTTTTATTGTGTAGGAGTATTATCTGACAATACAAGCTTTTTGAAATAGAACTACATGACACTCACATATTAAGGAATTTATGAAGGAAAAACTGCAAGAAAATGTACTAGAAAGTAAACTGTTGGAATATAAAATAAGGTATCCTGTGCTAAATCTCTGTCTTTGGTGTTTTCAATGATTGAGACTGAATGCAGATTTCTATCAAGATTCATAAAACTTGTCATGACGTTGTTTAATTCACTACTGGTGTCTATGTACTATTCCTGGTCAATTTTTAGAAACATCTGAGGTGATAAAATTTAAAAGAATCATGAAGAAAACTGGAAATGCCGACTTGTAGGAGATAATATCCTTAAATTGATATACTATGAAAAAATGTTTCACTGTCTTCTTAGCTGCTACGCATTCTATTTCTAGTACAGTGTAAACAAAGGTTTTTCTTACAAACATACTTTTTCAACAAATTTACTAATTTATGAACATGCTAATTAATATTTTATTTATTATTCTATGTATGGTATTTCATTACTATACAATAAAGGGTTTATTTTCTTTCATTTTTAGGTGGTTAATAAAATAATTCACACAAGGTTGTGGCTAATCAAATTACTGTAGTCAAGAAATCAGAATCACAGATAGCAGCTCTTGGATGTCCACCCCCAAGTATGGAGGGTGTTCATGCCTGAGCTTAGAGAAATTTTTTGTTATTTGACCAGTCACATAAACTGTTTTCTACTATAGCCGAGGACATGACTTGCTATATAAATTGCAGGGCATAGTACAAAATAAAGATAAAAGACTGCTTATTAAAAATATATTCAAAATTTTAAAATAGTACCAAAAGAGCATGAAACCAAGGGCAAGGATCTTCTGAGCACTGAGTCCTGTGCAAATGTAAAAAATCATGAAGATGGCCCCACATAGGGGTAGTGAGAATTAGGGAATACTCTTTTCTTTGGTAACTTACTGATACCCTGTTTTAGGTATGAATCCATAATCTTAAAATATTTTCTCTTCTTTGGCATACGTTTGCATGTACTATCTCTCCTTTTAAGCTTTTCTGCTTTCTCTTTTATTTATTTAATTTATAAACCTTAAAATAAATGAAATATGATGAGGGGACAGTTTCTCATAGCAACACTTAGTCACAAGTGAGGATTAGAAAAGCCCTTCATGGCCCTTTATTTTAATTTTTAATTTATATAACTATATGCCTTTTTGAAACCTCTAAGGACAAACAATTGAACATCTAAAGACAGATAACCATACATACTGTAAGTTCCTAGATTCTACATTTTTAGAAAAAGAAAGATGTTCTCTTATGGTAAGGGAAACATATGTCTACTCACACAAACACACTCACACACAATTATATATTGTTAGTAGGCTATTATCTTTGAATAGGATGAAATAACCGATATATGCAATGTTTATAGAAATCAATACATTAATATATTTTCTGATACAGTGATTACCTTAATTTCTTGATAATTCATTATATTTGCATGTGAAACTTTGTAAACTTATAATTATATTTTGGAATTGAAAAAGTCAATTAGAAAGAACCTCAGGACTCATAGTGTCCTTCTTTATTGCTTCGTAACACACTGCTCTTAGGTAATTGCCTTAATACTCTACTATGTAGCACTAGTGTGACAAATGATTATTATAATAAAGATGAGAATAAAAGTGATATTTAATAATTTAAGTTGCACCTTAAAATAAGCTGAAAGTACATACTACAGAGCATAAATGTTAAATTCTCAAAATAACTCAGTCTGCAAGTAGGTAGTCTTTTGTTTTCCTGCAGCTCCTGAACACTTTCTGAAATATATTCAGAAAGTGATGATATTGGAAAGATGGTCTGCCTTACCGAAGGTATGTTTAGATCCTTTCTGAGATCTAGGGTATTTCACCTCCAGAGAATCATACCTAGGTTTATATAACCACAGTATACGAGACAGTAAAATATTAATTACACCACTAAACATCTTTTGAGAACTTTTTCTAGGCTACATCAGAAGCAAAAAGTTGTTGTTTGATGCTTGTTTTTGTTTTCGTTTTGTTTTTGCTTTGTTCTATGCCCCTACCAGGTAGTGACGATTACTGTACACATCTCGAGGGAACTGAGGCTTGAAAAGATTACATAAATTTAAACAGAGTACACTTACACAGAGTACATTTACTACAATGTTAAAATATTCTCATAGAACTTTATGATTTACAAAGTATTTTCCTATTTAGCTCATGATAATAAACACATAAATAAAGTCACTTAGGCTCCAATATCAATAAAATTTTGAATGAGTGAGATATTCTTGCCTTAAAATTCTGCGGAAGAGAAAGGAATTGCATTTTACACTATTTCCATAATTTAGTTACAGACATATTGCTATACGAACAGAAAGGAGGATAAGGAAAATCCTACGTGAAACTTTGGGATGATTTTATGAGAGAACAGTCATTTATACCACTTATTGCAAGCAGTTTTAGAATTATATGAGCAAAGGTATGAAGACAGTAAAAATTTGTGCCTGCACAAGGAACAACACATAGTCTGGTTTGGTTAGAGAACAGAATACGAAGTGGCAGCTACTCTTGGAAAATGCATATGAGGCTAATTTATACGACTTTGAATTCCTAGTTATGTGTGCAGGATCTTTCTGTGTCAGTTTTGAATGAAGGCGTAATGAAAGGACGGAGAGGCAAGAAGGAGGTTACTTAAAAGGCTATAGCTAAGGCAAAGCTAACAATCACCAGAGACTCGGCAATAGAGAAGAGACTGGATGCAAATTTATCAGACTCATTTTATTTTTTTCCTGGTCACAGTATTGGACCATATTTCTAGACTTCCTTGAAATAAGGGTTCAGGATAAAAAAAATATGAAGTAAATAAATTATTTGTAACCTATTATACACATCTAATCACAAAATAAAAAGATGAAAGATGCCAATTCGGAACATTCCCCAAATTTACCAGTGAATTTCTGAGAGAGCTTTATCTTCCACTCAAATTTAGTGAAGAGAGAAGGTTACTTTGGCTTAATGAAATGGCTCATCTCCAGGGTAATGTCCAATCTCATATCAGCCAACGTATAATCACCAGGGTGTATTAAGGATGAGCTCGATATACATTTTTTTCACTCAAACACCCATTAGCTTTGCAATGCAATATTTTCTCTCAAAGACAAGGGAGACATCCATGTTAAAAAAAAAAAAAGGAATTTAGAACAATCTATTTTGTATTGTTACATACTTAGACAGCTGGAATTAATATATGCTTTATTTTAATCCACCCTAAAATAGCTTGTAAATGAAATTTCTGCTAAATAAATGAATGTCATACATCTTCTGTTCCATCTTTCAGCTCAGCAATCCATACCTGGGGTGGATGTGGAAACCTTGTATTGAAGAAGGCAGCATATCAGGAACCTCACTGTTGGAATGACTACATGTTCTATTTTAGAAACCAAAATTTTAAGGTTTATCTTTAATATCTGCTGGCATTATCTGGAATGCTAAACAGTATTATAGAGAAAAAAGTAAGTGGGAAGATGGAAGAAAAATAAGAAGTTGGTCAAGGTTGTTATAAAATGTGAACATTTAGATAAACTTAATAAAATGTTACTACTGGCAAACAAGGATCATAGCACTATAATGCCCAAAATGGGATACATAAGTAAAAATGAATCTACTCTCAAATGCTATGATGGGCAGGCTAAGTGCGCAGGATTAGGGTTTAGAGGGAGGGCCCCTAAACTATCAGAACAATACTTGAAAATAATACTTAGAAACTATTTTTGACAGCTCAAAGCAGCAGCGGCTTCTTTCTTGAAGCAGCAAAGTAATCACATGGGAGTAATCACAATGTTTCTTATGCTCTTACCTGCACTCTACAATTTGGCATTGTTTATCAATTTCATGTTAGGAAGGCATATTCTTTCCAGCAATTAGAGCCTCTAAAAGATTCGCCCTAGTCTAGAAGTATGTTTATGTTTATGTATCCAGAGAACAGGTAGAAATTTGGATATGCTGCTCAGCAGAGAAAGAAATTCTAAAAGTATATGACACAGGAGTCAAACTCTTAGGATTGTTAAAGCCATGAATTTATATAAGACCACAGGAGACACCATAGAAAAATAAGAGTAGACTGCAAATCAGGTTACAGTTCTATTTAGCAAGAAGAAAGTGTAATTGGTAACACTAAATATAGTCAAGAGATGAGAGAAGAAACTGAAAGAAAGGAGTAGTCAATAGCAAATACAACGAGAACAGACCACCTTGGACTCATCTTTATTGGAGGCATTAGGGAAACCAAGTGGGTTGATTGGTCAAAGATAGCTTTGAAATGCATCTGTCATCGTTTGGCATATGGTACAAAAGCAAGTTAAACCAATGTAGATACATCATTAGTAGATAAAATCACAAATATTTACGTATTTCAACCAAAATTAGAAAAACAAGCTAATAATAATAATAATAATAATAAAAGAACCAGAAAGTGACACTCTTCACCAAAGGTTCAATCTCAAATGCTATGGCCAAAAGCACACCATGAATACAGAAGAAAGGGCAGACTGAGATGCACGTGGGTTATTGGGGTTCAAGGAGTGTTATGAAAATGAAGGGAGTAAAACAAAGAAGAACATCAATCCAGGATACAAAACCCAAGGACAACTTCAGACAATGCATTTTTAGTGCTGTGAATGTTTTAGTTAGGATAGCTAAGTAAAGCAAACATATTAAAAAACATTGAAGAGAGGAGTTACAAAGAAGTACAGTCTGAGAGAAGTCAGGGGACATATAATTTGACAGAGAAAAGAAGACAATGGTATTAAAAAACACTTATATATGAGGAAGCTGCTAGAGAGGATAGCTGGCAGAGGAGATTCTCTGTGTTCAATATGAAATTTCTCCACTTATAATTATTTCACCTTAGGGAAGTTATTCATTTTTAATATGCTCACAAATAAACAAGTAGGATAATAATTTCATATGATTTCTTTCAGAGTGAGTAAACAGAGGTCCTTTTAATAATTATGAAGTGACAGTAGGTGCAAAATTGAGATGAACAGAGATACCTGGTCACCACATTTAATGGGCAAAATGTTGAGGTTAAAAGAATTTGTTATTTCTGTTTTATCCCTTCAGTTTTCAGTATTCTCATCCCAAGAGATGACAAAAGGTCTGTGACAAGACTACACATGGCAATTCTGTGTGATCTGACCATCAGGATCTGACCATCAGGAAAAGAACTCTTAATAATCCAGGCTAAACTTTTCTGCAGTCAAATATACCCACTTTCTTCCTTCAGTGGTATATCAGACATCAGCTTTTTTTGAGGAAATCTTCATAGAGATATTGAAAGAAATCTTTATAATAAAAATTACTTAATGGAATAGGTCTGTGGTTATAGTGTAGTTTTAACTAGGGACATACAAGTCATAATGTCTTAACTTCAAATATCAAAAATCCGTAAGAAGTTAAGATATGAGAACTGAAGGACAGAAAAGGTAGTCTTATTTGTGCTATAAGATGTCCTTAAATCCCTTAAATAATTGCACTAGGAAGTATACTTTGTTTCTTCATGTATCTCTTAAAGTTTGGTCTTAAGACCCAGGGGCTAAAGGCCTGAATTTCAATTCATATTTGTTTCATAATAGCTGTGACCCCTCAAGAACCAGCCACTAAACTGCGAGAAACTATTTCGTACACAGTAAAGTAAGATTATTTTCTTAAAAATGGCACAAGGTTTTATCAGAATTGCAGAAACATTGCTTAGCATCATGCATGACATATACTAAATATTCTGTCTATGCCACTTAGCTACCCTTGATGTTATATTATTAAATTGTGACTATTTTATAAATATGCAGTCTCCTAATACATAGTTGTAAAAATGTATAAAGGTGTCCAGTGAGCAATTAATAGATTCTTTTTTATCATACTTCCTTCTTACCTTCATGATTTGTATAAAAGATTCAGAGAATGAAACACAACTCTGGGATTTGTACTTTTTAATGGAAACAATTAAATACCAGATCTAAATTGTACATAACCATGATAAACAAATCTCTAAACAAGACAAGTATGAATAAACATTATAAACTTTCTAAGATACAAATAACAATAATAGTGTGGGTTATTTCTTCATAAATTATATACACTCCCAGTTATTTGTGTCAAACTTCTCTTGTGCCTGATGGTTTCCAATTCAAAACATGTTAATATTTTTCCAGTTTTCAAAGAAAGTTCTGATTTGTCAGTAGACAGAACTTAGCCATCTTCAGGCATACATATTGACAGAATTTAAGTTAACAATTAAAACCTTTTTTTTATACTGGGTGGCAATTTAGATTTATGTTTCTTTAAATCATTAATGTCATTTTCATTTTCCTATAGCAGAGAGTCCATCATACCAAACCAAAAACAATATGCCTATGCAAAAATGTAAGAAATCACTACTCCAAGCTATATACTAGGTTGTCAAACATTATTCTTATAAAAATCTATATACACATTGGCCAATATTTACTTGTTTTTTTATAATAATGTAAAAGCAATAGTAGTTAAAAATAGGGACTTCAGAGCCAGAATAATCCGGATTAGTTCTCATCTCCATTTCTTATTTGATGTGTTCACTAACAAATCTCAAAATCTCTTGTGTCAGTTTTCTCAATTTTAAAGTGGGAATAAATAAATAAATAAATAAATATGCTTTATAGAGCATATGTAAATTATAGTAACTGTAGTAATTAAATATTAGCATAACTAAAGTTGATATCTCTCAAGTAGTAAATACTATGTGGTTGTACTAAATATTAAGTTGTGGTTGTCAATACTAATATTCTTAATAATGCATACTTCATTGTGTTCTACAGATATTGATTAAATAGAATATTTAAAAAATTTAGATTTTGACTTCTGACATATTAAAATATTCTAAAATATAGAGTTGCTATGTTCATGAGGCTATAGAAACCATTTGTGAATTTGTTTAAGTTCTTTGTAGATTCTGGATATTAGCCCTTTGTCAGATGGGTAGATTGCAAAATTTTTTTCCCATTCTGTTGGTTGCCAGTTCACTCTAATGATAGCTTCTTTTGCTGTGCAGAAGCTATTTAGTTTAATTAGATCCCATTTGTCTGTTTAGGCTTTTGTTGCCAACGCTTCTGATGTTTTAGTTATGAAGTTCTTGCCTATACCTATGTCCTGAATGGTATTGCCTAGGCTTTTTTCTAGGGTTTTTATGGTGTTAGATCTTATGTTTAAATCTTTAATCCATCTGCAGTTAATTTTTATATAAAGTGTAAGGAAGGGGTCCAGTTTCATCTTCCTGCATATGGCTAGCCAGTTTTCTTAACACCAAAACAATCACATCAAAAAGTGGGCAAAGGATATGAATAGACACGTTTCAAAAGAAGACATTTATGCAGCCAACGAACATGAAAAAAAAGCTCATCATCACTGGTCATTAGAGAACTGCAAATCAAAACCACATTGAGATACCACTTCATGCCACTTAGAATGGCAATCATTAAAAAACCTGGAGACTACAGATGCTGGAGAGAATGTGGAAAAATAGGAATGCTTTTACATTGTTGGTAAGAGCGTAAATTAGTTCAAGCATTGTGGAAGACAGTGTGGCGATTCCTCAAGAATCTAAAAATAGAAATACCATTTGACCTAGCAATCACATTACTGGGTATATACTCAAAGGATTATAAATCGATCTATATAAAGACACATGCACACATATGTTCATTGCAGCACTGTTTACAGCAAAGATTTTGAACCAACCCAAATGCCCATCAATGCTGGACTGGATAAAGAAAATGTGGCATATGTACAGCATGGAATACTATGCAGCCATAAAAAAGGATGCGCTCATGTCCTTTTCAGGGACATGGATGAAGGTGGAAACCATCATTCTCAGCAAACTGGCACAAGAACAGAAAAACAAACACCATATGTTCTCACTCATAAGTTGGTGTTAAACAGTGAGAACACATGGACACAGGGAGGGGAATATCACACACCAGGGCCTATGGTGGGTAGGGGACCTAAGGGAGGAATACTAGAGGTTGGGGGAGTGGGGAGGGATAATATTAGGAGAAATACCTAATGTAGGTGATGGGGGAATGGATGCATCAAACTACCATGGCACGTGTATACCTATGTAACAATCCTACAGGATCTTCTCATGTACCCCAGAACTTAAAGTATAATAAAATAAAATAAAAACAGAAACCATATTTGAAAATAAAGTTATATCGGTATTCTATAGACATTTGCTTCTAATATTCTAGAATAAAAATGTTCCTTATCTTTTAGTTTTATTTCATTTTATTCAACTAATGAAGATTAAGGATAAATACTCTTAAAAAATACATGAAAACAGTAAAAATGTAAGCCATTTGTTGAAAGTAATTTTAAAAGTGCAAACACAGAATTGATCTCTTGCTTTGACTACAGCCCTATCTCCTAATTTGTTGTTCTGTGTCTGTTCTTGTTTTACTTCTTCTATTTTTCCCATCGTAGCCAGAGCAACTTGAGTAATACATGAAATTGATTGATTATGTGACTATTCTGCCAAAACTCTTCAAATTCTTCCACTGTGCTTAAAATACAACTAAATTCCTTACCCTTGTTTACAAAACTCATTGACCTGTTCCTTGCCTAATGCTCTCAATTAAATTCATATCTTTCTCTTCTTCACTTATCAGGCTTCACCCATAACTTTCTCTTTCTGGAACACATTTATGTTCATTTCCAGCAAAGACACTTTGTATTTGCCATTTCCTCTGACTGGAAAACTTTGGAGCTAGATTTTAGCATCATTGCCATATTCTTATACTTTAGATCTTAACTCAGGGATGTCTCTTTTCAGAGGCCTTTCCCAACTACCAAATGAACTGTTGCTTAAAGTCCATCCTTATCACCAATAATACCCTTATTAATTGTCAAATACATTACTCTTATAATGTATTGACATGGTTGTTCTCTTAAAGTATCTATTCATTCATCTACCTCTTGATTGCAAGCTCCTTAAAAGCAAGGATTTCACTGGTTTTTTCCACATTTCTCCCACCCAAAACAATATTACCTAAATTACAGTATCACAATACATATTGTGTAGTCAATGCATAAAAGGATATAAATTAAAAGAGAAGCTTGTTGATATGCTAATATGAAGATGCCAATGTTCAAACAGAATTTTATCTGTAAATTTGGAATAAAAATGTTGGAAAAGATATTCAATGGCAATGAGGTGAGTGGTTGATATGTATTGTACAACAGCAATTTAAAACACTAAGTGTGAACAGCAGTATTAGCGAATGCACCATTGAAGTAGTATAAGTCATACACATAGCTAATTCATCACTGAATACTTTACACTATAACTCTTCCATAGGTTTCATATTTGTCTCTTTCTTTAAATCCCCTTTGGCCGCTTTGTTTTGGGCTAACATTTTTCTTCCTGTATTCTAATTGGGAATTGTCTTCATAATGTGAATCTTAATGTTATTTGAATCAATGATTAGAAGAAATCACAGTTTTAATTAACATGCTTCTTCATATATGTATTGAAAAGTACCCTAAAATTAATTCCTTTAAAGTGAAAGCCTGTTTTATAAAATATTTTTCAATAGTGCTGCATTATCACATTAAATAGGCAATAAGCTAGCATCTTCTTATTTTATATTGGGCCTTGGCTAAGTGTGGCTCATGGACTAAATTCAGATAGCCAACAGGTTTTGTAAAAATGATTTTATTGAATCACAGCCACACATATTTGTTTATTTGTTGTCTATAACTGCCTTTACTCCACAATGACAAGATCATTGCAACAGAGACTGTATTGCCAACAAAGCAAAAAAATGTGTATTATCTTCCCTTTTTCAGAAAATGTTTTTGTCCCTACTTTACACCATTGTTTTATAGATATTAGAAACCATATAAAATTAAAATCGTTTTCTTATATCAGCTTTATTGAGTCATATCTGTCTCTCTCACTTTCCACACAATATGAAGATTACATTTCAAGATATCTTATTGGCCTTTAAATGTTGAAGACCTTGGCAAACAGACATTACTTTGTTTTCACTAGTTCCTTAGTAAAACAGTTAATTGACAAGTTACCCTATTTAGCAGGAAGCCAATAAACCACAGTTTAAATCAGTAGATTATGCTGTTTTAAGCTTCTGAAAAAATGATTAGTTTCACCAAAGGAGTGGGCAATTACTGCCATTGATAAGTAATTCTGTATCTGGAAACAAAGATTTGCAATTTCTTGCCCATAGTTACAGCACACAGACTGTTGACTTAGTGTCTATGCAGTTATAAACTATAGATTCTAATAACATTTAAATGTATGATGTTTATTTAAGTCTGTAAGGTTATGATGTTTATCCATAGTACTTTTATTATTAATTTCTTGGTATATAATCACTCATGCAGACAGGAGGATCTCTCATTTTGCAAAAATAAATAAATAAATAAATAACCACTTAATTTTGACCCACACAAGATAAAGAGATGCTCTTGAGGTATCTACTTCTAAGCTACAGACAATGAATGTATGTGTGTGGACTCACTGGTGAATCTTTATATATAAACTAAGTATATAATATAGTCATGCTAAAACGAATTTGACTTGGAACCAAAGCTTTTTTCTAGAAGTATAAGATTTATTCATATAAAAGCACTTACAAATTTTAAAGGTATCAGAATTTCTGTACAGCAGGGATTATAAAAGACTGAAATTTCCCTTCTGTAATAGGGTTTCTGGCCTCTTTTGCCCTCCAAAAATATTAGGTATAGCTTAGAATCAGAGAAAAATAATACCAATTGCAAGGGAATGCTTTGTCCTTCATAGGGTCAACAGCTGTCCCTCACTGGTTGCTCTGATCTCCTCTTGAAGCTTTCCGTCAGCTTCTCTTCACCTATACACAGGCAACTACGATTTGCAGGCAAGGAATGTAAGAGCTAAGCATATTGGTGCCACATTAAATCCATGGTCATCACCATTAAATGCGTCCTTATTATAGCAAGATCACCTTGTTTCATTCTTTTTCTGTAAACTGCTGTTTCCCTTATTGCTATAATTATTTAAAAACTGTGCATCAAACCGAGTTATTAACACCTGCACAATTGGACATATGGGAGTCAACTATGGCCTCGTCACACAGGAATGGCATGATCTGGAAAAAAATGGGTTAAACTCTCCATCTCTTAGTTTTTCCTTCTGTAAAATATGACAATAATAATGTTTATAACTTATACTTGCAATAGCATTAATGGTACATAGCATATAATTAGACCTAATAAAAATGATTTATTGTCTCCATCATGCCTCTCCGACTCCTCCCCCTCCTCCTCATTTTCCAACATGTAACAAATATGCTACTCTTTCACCTGAGAAATTAAAACAAATGCAACAAGATTAACCCTGCACCTTGCTGCTTATCTTTTTTACATCTTTCAGTGGAGGACTTGGTTTCTTTCTATCTAAGGGCCATTTCTCTCTGTCCTCTGGTTTCAATGCCTTTCAACTTAATGCTATTTATTGTTCAACTACTTTTTACTTTCCTAATCTTTCCTTGCAACATAAACACTCTGTCATAAGCAGATTACGGAACCAAAAACTGTTGCATATCTCTTTCTGCATGGATTGACCTTTTGGTTTCCCTTATCTCTCTGGGTTTAGTTAGGGGTGGTAAGGGATTCCCATTTTTGCTAGGCACAAGGTATTTCATCATTCTGTTTAGGTTTCCTCATTCTGCTCACACTCCTGTAGATAGTTTTTTCATTGAAATATTATATTTAAACTCTGTGTGTACTACTGTTCTGTACCAGGACCGTGACTGATACAGATGTCTATGATCTTTATGGAGTCAGTAGAAGTGTAAGCCCAACAGTTTCAGGGTAAATCCTCCAAACTCTATTAATAGCTTATTATATGCCAGATACTGAGAAATTTGAACAATCGATAATGAATACTAACTCAAGACTAATAGAAAGCAAACAATTAGACCTTATTTCAAGATAAAACCCTGCTATTTACCTTAGAAACTAATTTCTCTTTACAAGAACAGAAAATCAACACCACATGTTCCCACTCAGAGGCGGGTATTGAACAGTGAGAACGCATGGACACAGGGAGGGGAGCATCACACACTGGGGTCTGTCGGGGGGGAACTAGGGGAGGGACAGTGAGGGATGGAGAGTTGGGGAGAGATAGCATGGGGAGAAATGCCAGATATAGGTGATGGGAGGGAAGGCAGCAAACCACATTGCCATGTATGTACCTATGCAGCAATCCTACAGGCTCCTCACATGTACCCCAAAACCTAAAACACTACATATATATATATATATATATATATATATATATATATGAAAGTAATTTCTCTTCTTTTCCAAAATAAATGCCATTTCAAGTGACAAGTTTACCCTCAACACTAGAATACTTTCTGTTCATCATTCCATATTTAAAAACATTTATTTAACATAAAAAGAGCAAATTAATTATTATCCTTGCCTCAGTGGCCACAGTTACAGCTATCTCACAGAGGAAAAAACATATTTGATACGAAAGGCAACCATATTTCTTTTCACCAAGACATAGCTAACAACTCATCTTCTAAAGCACAAAGAAAGCAGAAGCCCTTCAGAAATACATCTTTCCAAATGTTGTTAAACATCTATTTGTCTGATTATTATATCTTGAGATAGTCCTTACTGTAGTAATTGCATACTTAAAATTTAAGATTTTATGCCACGTTATGTGTTAATTTTATGCATTCACTTTCTCTTTCTCCTGTTCCAGTTTCCCACATCCTAGGGCATCTGTGGAGATAACAAAACTGCAAATGCCAGATGGTAGTATAATCATTAAATTAAAATCAGTTCCACTCTTATTTCAATCATGAAACAGAATGATCAAATTGTAAAGGTTTCTATTCTGGATACTATTTTATTTTACACGAAAACAAAAAGTTTTATTTTAAAAACATTACACTGATAAATTATAGTATTTTTTTCCCTTCTGATCTCATCTTGTAAGCTTCTAAAATTGGGTTGACTAATACTTTTGTTCTGCAAATTGTGTACCTAAAAAACAAAATAAGAATAAACTTTGAACGAAGGAAAACTAATATAAAATACTGTTATATTTCATATAACTAATTGGAAAAAAAACAATTCTGATAGGCTTTCTTAACACAGTAATATTAGGAATAAATTTTGTTCCTTGTTGAGAGGTGAAGTAAGGAAGATGACTGAATAAGTATCAAGCTCTGCTCCTACAGGGACACTAATTCAACAATACGCAAAATATTCTCCTTTGTGAGAAACCTAGAGATCAGCCAAGAGGCTCCTGTACCCTAAGTGAGTATCACGCCAGCCACATTGAAGTTTATAGAAAAATGTGTGGCACCCACTTGCCAAAAGCCCTGCCCCTAGCTCAGCAATGTGCAATGAGAAGGAAGATCTCAACTGCTCACTTCTCCCTGGGGAGTAAAGAGCAAACTGAAACATAGGTCTACTGTTCAGATTTGGAGGACACTATCTAAGAGACTGATTTCTGCCTGGTTTGAATCTAAGTGCTGACAGGAAAGAGTGTCAGATAAGAGACCAGTGAAAACAGAGGCAGCCCTTTGAACTAGCACACACTCCGTTACCATCATCTCTCTCCAGCTCAGCATAACAGTTTCACCTGACTTAGCATGCTGACAGGAGCTAGAATACTCTAGATGTTTGAGAATATAAAAGCAAATATAAGAGCTCCAGAGGACCTACAGTATAGCAGATAGAGACTGATTCAATTTGACAGTTTGTCCCTCAGGGGAAAAAGAGAAAAATAAAAGGTGTGTTACATATTGACTTTTTGGGGAGCTGCCTGAAAAACTGGTTGTTTTCTTGTTTGTCTCAGAACACAAATGGGAACTGGCATAATTTAAATGCCCGAGGCCAATGAGGAGAAAAACAAATGGGTGGCTTACAGTATCATCAAAGGATCTTCATCAGTGGAGACAGACACCATAGGAAGGAAAAAATTTGAGCTTCTGAAAAAATAAACCAGAAAAAATCTCTCTAATTAGGAATTTACAAATTCACAGAAAAAGTTTGAGAGGCTTCCAAAATCTGTATCTGGGTTATTCTGTGAGAAACTTTTCCTCTTTGGAGCCAGTCCATAAATACTAGGAGAGTGGGCTACTCTTCATATGTGTGGATCCCAACAAAAACTAACAAGGCACATGAAGAAACTATTGTACCTAACAGTTGGGCACATAACCCAAGCAAAGTATCAACAAATTATCTCCAGAAATAAGTCCTAAGGAAATGAAGATATATAAAACAACAAAAAATTCAAAATAACCATTATAAACATTCTCAATGAATTCAGAGAATACATAAAATAAGAATATCAACAAAAACATAGAAAACATTATAAGTAAACAGGAAATTTGAAACTAAAGAAAAAATCATTTAATTAAATAATTCACTAGAATTCAAAAACAGACTTAATTATGCAGAAGAAAAAAAAATCAGTGAACTTTAACACAGTTCATTTGAAATGATGCAGAAGAGCAAAAAGAAAAGGAATGAAGAGTGTAGAAAGCCTTAAAGACGGACGTGACTCCATCAAGGGAACAAATGTACACATTGTGAGAGTTTTAGAAGGAGAAGAGTAAAAGAAGTAAAACATTTATTTATTGGAATAAATAATGGCAGAAAACCTCCCAAAGTGGGGTAAGGAAATAAACATCTACATTTAAGAAGTCCAATGGCATAAACTCAAAGACGACAACAGGAATATAATCAAATTGTCAGAAATAAAAGACAAAGAGAGGATTTTAAAAGCAGCACAATAAAAGTGACTCATTATATACAAGAAATCCTCCATAAAACTAACACAGGATTTCTCAACAGAAACCTTGTAGGCCAGAAGGACTAGAATGACATATTCAAAGTGCTAAAATAAATAAATAAAACTGTCAACCAAGAAAAGTACATGGAACAAATCTGTCCTTCAAAAAATGAAAAAGAAATAAAGACATTTCCAGGAAAACAAAAGTTGAGAAAGTTTATAATTATTGTACTTTCTTTACCAAAATACTAAAGAGAGTCTTTCAATTTTAAACAAAAGCATGCAAGATAGGAACAAAAAGGCATTTGAAAGTATAGAGCTTGGTAGCAAGGGTAAATATTTAATGAATACAGGAGCCAGTAATACTGTAATGGTGGTGGATGACACAGTTTTAGTTTTGGTGTATAATTAAATTGTTAGTAGAAAAATATAACTAAAATATCTAAATTCATATGTAAGAAGGTATAATTATGACATCAATAGCAGAAAGTGCATGTATGGAGGAGGAAGTAGATACGCAAATTTTTTTTATTCAATTGGAATTAAGTTATCAGATTAAAATAGATTATACTTATAAGATGTTTTATGAAAGTCTCACAGTAACTACAAAGAAAATATCTGTAAGAGGTACACAAAAGAAAATAAGAAAGCAATTAAACATTGGCAGTATAAAAGTCAATGGGAAAAAAAAGATTGCAAAAGAGGAAAAGAGGAACAAAAGAGCTGTAAGACAGAAAGAAAACAATGAATAATATGGCAATAGTAAGTCTTTCTGCATCAACAAATATTTTAAATATAAATAAACTAAAATCCCCAATCAAAAGATAAAGAGTAGCTAAATAGATTAAGATTAAAAATCAAAACCATGATTTAACTATATGCACCCTACAAGAAACTCACGTTAGCTTTAAGAAGGCACATAGGTTAAAAATTAAAGGATGAAAAGAATATATTTCATGGAAGTTGTTAGCAAAAGAAGGCAGGAGTAGCCATAATTGCATCAGACAAAATACAGTTTAAGTCAAAAACTGTCAAAAAACAAAAACAACATCTTATAATTATTATAAAAGGAGGAAATCACTATGAATATATACCAAGTATATATGCACATAGCACCCAAATATGTAAAGTAGGCAGAACTGGATAGAGAGAGAGAGTAACACGATAATAGAAATTTCATACCCCACTTTTTTTTTTTTTTTTTTGAGACGGAGTTTCGCTCTTGTTACCCAGGCTGGAGTGCAATGGCGCGATCTCGGCTCACCGCAACCTCCGCCTCCTGGGTTCAAGCAATTCTTCTGTCTCAGCCTCCTGAGTAGCTGGGATTACAGGCACGCGCCACCATGCCCAGCTAATTTTTCTGTATTTTTAGTAGAGACGGGGTTTCACCATGTTGACCAGGATGGTCTCGATCTCTTGACCTAGTGATCCACCCACCTCGCCTCCCAAAGTGCTGGGATTACAGGCTTGAGCCACCGCGCCTGGCTCATACCCCACTTTTAATTATGGTTAAAACAACCAGACAGTTGATCAATAAGGAATAAGAAGACTCCATAAGAAACACTATAGCCTGATTAAACCCAACTGACACATAAGAATCAGTCTACACAAAACCAGTAGAATAAATATTATTCTCAAGTGTACATATTCTTCCCCAGGTAAGAATACATTGTACGTTGCAAAACAAGTCTTAATAAATTTGAAAAGACTGAAATCACACCAAGTATCTTTCTTGCACACAACTGAATAAAACTAGAAATTAATACCAGAAAGAGAACTGGACAATTATGTGAAAATTGAACAACACACTACCAATTGGCTGAAGATAAAATCAGGGGAAATTAGAATATTTTCTGAGACAAAAATGAAAACATAACATACCAAAACTTATGAGCTGCAGTGAAAGCAGCACTAGGAAATAATTTATCATGTTAAGCACCTGTATTAAAAAAGAAGAGGTATCTCAAATAAACAACCTAACGTTATACCACAAAAAACTAGAAAAAGAATAACAAAATAAACCCAAACTTAGCAAAAGGAAGGAATTTTAATAATTAGAGCAAAAACAAAACAGAAAAGCTATATAAAAAAAGTCAACAAAATGCTATTGAAATATCAACAAAATTGACAAACCCTCAGCTACACTAAGACCAAAAAGGAGTATTAAAATATAAATTGAGACATTACAACTGATGCCACAGAAATAAAGATTACAAAAAAGTATTACAAAAATTTATACATCTATAAATTGAATAACATCAACAAAATGGATCCATTTCTAAACACATAAAACCTACTAAGACTAAATAATGAAGACACAGAAAGTGTTTAACAGGTTAAATCTCTCATAAGAAAATTGAGGCAATAAGCAAAAACCTTTAAACAGAAATAAAGTCTACGACTAGATGGCTTAACTGGTGAATTCTACCAAATACGTAGAGAGGAATTAATGTCAAATCTTTCTCCACTTGCTAAAATATTGAAGAGGAGACAATACTTTCAACATCATTTTATGAAGCTAGCCTTATACTGAGACTAAAGCTAGATTTAAAACACTAAAAAAAAAAAGAAAGAAAATTGCAGACCAATATTCCAGATGAATACAAATGCAAATATCCTCCGAAATTTCTTAGAAAACCAAAACCAAATTCAATAGTGCCTTAATAGAATCATATACCACGACTAAGGTTTCTCTCAGGGATGAAAGAACTATTTAACATATGGGAAAAAAACCCAGAACCTAAAGTACAATTAAAAAACAACAACAACAAAAAAAAAACGATGTTTTCAATTAAACAAAATCTATCAGTATGATACAACACATAAACAATTAACAAATATAGAAAATTAACAAATATAGAAAAATATTTTGAGAAAACTCAGCACTGTTTATGATTTAAAAAAAAAAACTAGAAATTGAAAAACATAGCTTTATCATAGTCATTGTCGGAAAAAAAAAAAAAAGAAAGAAAAAAAAGAAAGCTTTCTCCTACGGTCAGGGATAAGGCAAGAATGCACTCTTAACACTTTTATTCAACATAGTACTAGAAGTCCCAGCTAGAGAAAGTAGGCGAGAGAAAAAAAATAGAAGGCAACCAAATTAGAAAAGAGAAATAAAGTCAATTCTGTTCACACAGGATTAGACTTTAGAGGTAGAAAACACAATAGACCCCATATAAAAACTGTTCGAACCAGTAAATGAATTCAGAAAATTTCCAGGATGCAAAATCAACGTATTGAATCAGTTGTGTTTCTACACATTAACAAAGAACAATTTTCAAAAAGAAATTAAAAAACAATACCATTTACAATAATATCAGAAAGAACAAAAAAGTACTTGGAAATTATCTTAACCGAGGAAATGAGCGACAATAAAACACTGATGAAGCAAACTGAAGGAGACACACATACATGGAAAGATATCCTGTATCAATATTGGAAGCCTTAATATTGGTAAAATATCAGTACCCCTTCCTCGCCGCGGCTGCTGGCGTCTCCTCGGCCTCCTCCCTCTCCGCCCCGCCGCCCTGACTCCGGCTCCTTCCCTCAGGGCCCGCCCGGCTTCCAGATCAATCTCAACCCGCTCAAGGTGCCTCTTGGCTTCATCAAGGTCCTCGAATGGATTGCTTCTATCTTTGCTTTTGCCACCTGTGGAGGTTTTAAGGGCCCAACAGAAATCCAAGTGAGTTGTCCTCTGACAATTACTGAGAATAAAACTATTACAGCTGGTTTTGGTTATCCACTCAGGTGTAACGAGGCATCATTTCAGCCACCTCCAGGTGTAAACGTATGTGATATCAACTGGAAAAGCCTTGTCCTCATAGGCGTTTACCCTCCTTCTGCACACTGCTATGCTACCTTTGCTGTCTTTGTGTTCCTGTACTGCATTGCTGCCCTCCTGCTTTATGTTGGCTACAGGAGCCTATATCCGGATAGTCGCACACTTCCTGTAATTGACTTTGTCGTTAGGCTTATTGACACTTTTTTGATTGGTGAGCACTTCAGCCCAGGCTGAAGCTCCAACAGATATTAAAATAGCTGCTGGTCACAATATTGTTAAGGAACTTTCACTTTGTAAGAAGAAAGAAGGGCTGTGTTACTTTGGCTCTGTGATCAGTATGGGATCCCTAAATGTATCTGTGATCTTTGGCTTTCCAAATATATTTTGGGTAGGAAATGCTTGGTTTGTGTACAAGGAGACCAGCGTACACAGTCCATCAAATACGTCTGACTGTCATAGCAAAGGACGTATTTCACCTCCTGCTGAAATATAATTAAAGGGAGAAATAAACTGTATAAAGTATATGTTGATACTATGACATGTTGCCAACCTTTTGAGAAGCATTACTTTTTTTTAATAAAAGTCATGGCTTTGCCAATATATTGGTGGGTTGAAAATTTTGCTTTTTTTTTTTTCCCCAAAAGGGTGTGCCTTTCCTAGAAATTTAAGATGTAAATGTATTCTCACATGTAGATTTGAAAGTTCAGGAGCCGATTATGAGATGATACACATTTTTAAATGAACAGCAATTTTTTTCACTAAGCTGTTTCCTCCTTAAGCCTTAACAGGTATCTTCATTCAGAAAACAGTTATATTATCCTACCATAGTAGGAAAAAAATCTTTCTTTGGAATATCACTACTGTAAGTTTGCACAGATCATATAGCTAAGACCTGTCTTTGCTTAAAAAGCCTTGATTACATAAATTGTATTTAGAAAAAACATATTTAGTTCAAAATTTATATCTAACAGTGTTCATGTTATGATTGTTTTTAATTGCAAAGACTTAGTATATATTTTTTTCTGTTTTCTTTTTCTAAATGACTCATGGTACTTAATAGGTGTACAAAAATTTTGTTGGGAGCAGGGATTTGGAAATTTCTGATAGATGTGTAGTTAATTTAGTAAATCTGTTGCATGAGATATAATCTTCTAGTGGTTTAATAGGCTTGCTATGTAAGAACAAACAGCATGGCTCAAATAGATATTTTTATACGTATGGACATTACTCTTACTGATATTTTTTTTCTGTCTTTTGTTGCTCATGATATTTAAGTGCTGGCTGAGACCCAGCCTCTTTGTAAGTAGAGTAAAATAGCCCATCTGTTTCTTGCATACCCCACTCACAGGGTTACAAAAATTAAGATTGCTTTCTATACTTGAAATTTACCACTGAGAGTCATTGAAGTTGCTGTTTTGAGTTTAGCATTGATATTGTGAAAACAAATTCAATTTGGATTTCATATTTCTTAATATTCATTCTTGTTTCACAAATAAATGATTAGGGAATTATGCCTCATAAAGGAACTTAAGTGAGGTATATGATGAGTATATTGTCTTTGCACACACACACAGGTATATTCTGAATGCAAGCTTATTCACATTTTGCTTCCTAATCTTTTTGTTGTACAGGAATTCAGGTTTCTTATTCTTACAACATGATTGTTGATATGTAAACCACATCTTGTTATTGCCTTATTTTTGATGTTCTTATTCATAAGAATTATTAATATCAGAAAGTATATCTTTTTTGCAACCAACTTCATAAAGGAGTTGAAAGAAAAACTATGTCAGTACCACCCAAACTGATCTACAGGGTCAAGGCAATCCCATCAAAATCGCAATGCCATTTTATTTTTTCAGAAATAGACTGAAATAAACTGAAATTTCATAAAAATTTCAAAAATAAACTGAAAATTCATAAAGAACCACAAAGGACCCCCAATAGACAAACAATCTCATAAAAGAACAAAGCTAACTTAAAAACATACCACAAAGCTACAGTAAGCAAAATAACATGGTACAGGTATAAACGCAGACATATAAACCAATGAAACAAATTAGAGGGTCCAGAAAAAAAAACCATGTATATATAGTCAACTGATCTTCAACAAGGATGTTAATACACAATGTTGAAAGGATAGTATCTGTACTAGTCCATTCTTGTGCTTCTGTAAGGGAACAGTAAAGGCTGGGCAGTTTATTAAAAAAAAAGAGTTAGTTGACCCATGGTTCTGCAGGCTGTACAAGGATGGCTGCAGCATTTGCTTCTGGTGAGGAATTCAGGAAGCTTACAATCATTGGGAAAGGGGAGCCAGTATATTATATAATATGAGTGTGAGCAAGGGGGTGCAGGGAACCATGATCTTTTAAAAAACCAGATCTCATGTGAACTCAGAGTGAGAACTCATTCATTATTGCAATAACAGCCATTAAAGGGGGATCTGCCCCTATGAGCCAAACATTCCCCACCAGATCCTACCTCCAACATTGGGGATTACATTTCAACATAAGATTTAGAAGGGACAAACATCAAAATGATATTAGTATCTTCAAAATTGTGTTGGGAAGATTTGAATTTTTTTCATGTGCCAAAGATATTCAGATGCAATAGAATAAAATTGTATTCTTATCTAACAACAGAAACATAAATTAACTCAAAATACATTAAAGACTTAAATGTAAGACATGCAACAATAAGAAAACATGGTAGAAAATCTTTATAATGTTGGTGCAGGTAATGATTTTATGAATATGACACAAAAAGCACAGAAAACAATAGCAAAAACAGGCAAGTGAGACTGTGTCAAACCAAAATATTTTAACACAGCAAAGTAAAAAATCAACCGAATAAAAAGGCTACCTGTAAAATAGGAAACAATATTTGCAGAACATATGTTTAATAAGGAGTAATATCTAAATACATGAGGAACTTCTAAAACTCAATAGAAAAAAATAGAAATTATGCAATTATAACTGGGCAATGGGCATGAAAAGATACTTCACCAAAAAAAAAAAAATACATACAAATGACCACATATTCATGAAAAGATGCTAAATGTAAATAATCAATAAGCAAAGACAGATCAAAACCACAATGAAATATTAACTCATGCCTATTATAGATGGCCAATATCAAAATAGAATAAAACAGAAAATAATCAGTATTGAAGAGAATGTAAATACATTGAAACTCATATCCCCTCTTGGTGTTAGCGGATAATAGTGCTGAGACTATAAGAAATAGTGTAAAGATATCTCAAAAATAAAAAATAGAACTACTATATGATCTGGAAATTCTACTTCTTCATACTTATCTAAAATAACCGAAAACAGGATATTGGAGATACATTTGCACTTTCATGTTCATTGCATCATTATTCACAAAAGCCAAGAGGTGAAAACATATATGTTCATTGACAGGGAAATGTTTAAAAAGTTTATAAATATATAACTATATATATAACTATAAATATATGTGTATGTATGTATATGTATAAAATAGAATATTATTCAGCTTTAAAAAAAATAGTCCCCTCATATACAACAACAGAAGTGACACTTGAGGACATCATGCTAAGTGGAAAAAGCCAATCATCAGGACAGACACTGTGTGATTCCACTTTTATGAGTCACCAAAAAGTAGTCATAGTCATACTCAGAAGCAGAAGGTAGAAAGTTGATTGCCAGAGTCTAAAGGAATGCAGAAATGAGGAGTTATTGTCTAATGAGTACAAAATTTCAGTCATACAAGATGAAAATGTTCTAGAAACATTTTCTACAATAATGCACATATAGTGAACAACATTGTACTGTTTAACTAAAAATCTGTTACTAAGATATATTTCATGTTGCATGGAATTTTTTCACCACAGTATAAAGTATTCCTTGTCATGACAAATTAAAAGCAAAATCACTACACTATAGTAAAGGAAACTACATCCTGAAATATTTATGAATTATTTGTGATCATGTTATAATCTGTTATTAACATCAAATCATACAATAACAATTTGTTTCTTCTACCAATGTCTTATAAGCATGGTCTGCAGTAGCCTTCAATCAGAATAAAAACTCTGATATCTTAGAGCATCTCCAGACCTACCGAATCAGAGTTATGGTGGATGGTACCCAGTAATCTGTATTTTAAGTATTCTTTTCATCTGAAAATTATGTACATAAAACTTGTAACATTGCTTTATATGTATTATGAGCTCCTAAATTTTTATGCACACACACAAAAACAAATGTTCTTAATAAAGGAAAGTTACATTGAAGTTAAATTCATAGTTCAACTTTGACTCAAAGAAGTTAGTCACATCTTCACCAAACTCTTCTAATGCTACTGATCACTCTTGATAATCCATACTAATTTCAGATGTAGAAAATTAAGTATCACTATTCAAAGTCTCTTAACAATATGAACTATTTGAAAGTTCCAACCATTTTCAACATTACATAAGATCTTAATAATCATATTATTTGTTTTCAACCTCAGAAATAGCAAAACAAAAAAGCATCATCAGCATTTTGTACATTTTATAGTAAAGAAAATCATATAAAAACTTGAAAGTTTATTAATGGCAGTAAACTAGTTTATTTTGTTTTCTAAAATTCAAGAAAAGTGGATCACTTCTATGGCTAAACTAATATTTTGAAATTCCTTTATTATAGACCTAAAACTGTAATATGGTTTAAAGACTGCAATTTGTTTAGATTAGCCCTATGATTGACTCTAATTTATATGCTGAGTTCAGTTTCAGCTTTCTATTATAAATGATCTAACAATAAATATTCTCACAATTCTCTTCTGACTGGAGAGATGGGGGGATTTCTCACCATCAGCAAAGGGGTTATCAATTCTGCCTAGCAGAAATGCCAGCCAGGCATCCTCTACCTTGTTGTAGCAACTGAGCCACAGGTTGAAGTCTCAGTTTATTGAGATTGCCTCCCATTGACTACTGGTGGTCATTTTAATCTTCATCCCCTGACTTCTCCCTAGAGCCTTGGTCTATCTGGTGGCCAGCTGTCATCATCGGTAAGGGCTACCACACATCAGCCAACTCATTAGCATATCAAAAAACTTTGGAGAGACTAAGGATTTTATAAATTGTATTCCAGAAAATGGGATCAAAGACCAAATACATATTTCATATTACCACACTCTGGAGAAAAATTTAAGTGAAATTAAATCAACATTAATATTTCAGTGGAAAGCTTGAGTGAGGGAGATAATTTAACAAAAGAATTAAACTTTGCTTTACATTAATGATCTTCATGATATAGCAGAACTGAATTACAATGGCAGGCTATAAGCCTTTATTTAAATTTCCCGCTTAGACATGAACAATGTGTTTTATGCTGATAGAAGACATAAGTCTCCCGGGCCAGAAACAAAAGACCTTATTACTCATAGCATAACAGGCAGCATAAATATAATTCTCCTGTCCTTTGACCAAGACAATTTTAATGTTCCCCTCAGCTTGTGTAAATG